CTGATTTGGGGCGTTTTTGGGCGCCTGTATCTCGAAATCTTTACCGCAACTTTTTTTTTAACTTTCTCTATCGAGAGTCCATTCGATAGTCTTGTGAATTATGCCATCCAATAAGACTTTGAAATGTCTGGAATACGATAAAAAAAAAGGGACTGAAAATCGAAAAAAGGCGAAAAATCGTGAAATTTTGCAAAATGCTCTATTACTTTATTATTTAAACAAATTTTTACAAAAAGATTACAGATTCGGATAGCTGACCTAATTACGATTCTAACGATGTATAATATGTATTGAGTTATTGAAATTTAATTTTCGAGATTTTGACATTTTTGAATTTTTGGCACTTTTGAACATAGGATTTCTCAGGGCCATTTTATCTGATCAGATAATGTAATATATCATTACAGAGCCCTGTGGCTATCTAATTGCCCAACCCCGACAATAATCTCCATACCGGACGTATTCAAAAAAGGAAGAAAAAGGTTAAAAAAAATTAGCGCTCGTGCGAAAAACTTGATTTCTCCATCAGATCTTAGCGGACCAAAAGAACTAAAATGTCGCTGGATAGCCCCATTAATGGACTATCATATGACATCTGAATGATGCGATTTAGATGGCTAGAAAATAAATTATGGTACGCCAAAAATCTAGTATTTTCCGTTTTGGAGCATTTTGAGAGGCCTTTTTCTCAAACACAACTACGTTTTTTCTTAAACTTTTTTTACTCAAGAGTCCTATGGGTGGACTATGGCGTGAGTCCAAAAATAAAAGCATTGAAATAACATAAGTTGTCTAAAAAGAGCCTCAATCTTGGAAAAAAGTTGAAAAATCCTCAAATTACTGAAAATGCTCTTCTATTATTCTTTGTTTTGAAAACAGCTCAATGGGTGTTTCTAAAACTTCTGGTACAGAAAGTTAACTATCCAAACAACATGTTAAAACTATCCCGACAATGATCCAAAAACCGGAAGTAGTCAAAAAAATATCCGATATTTTGAAAAAAAACAACTTAAAAAGTAAAAAATGGTGATCTTGCGAAAAAGGTGATTACAACGCCATATTTCAACGAATCAAAACAACTAAAGTGTCATTGGATAGCCCGAACAATGGGCGATCTTATGACATCTCAATGGTAAAAAATCGCTGGTTACGTAATATATTATGAGATGCTGAAAATCTAGTATTTTCCTTTTTGGAGCCTATTCAGACGCTTTTATCTCGAAAATTACTCTTATTTCCTTTCTTAAACTTCTGTTACTTAGAGTCCTAACGCTGGTCTGGGGTGTGAATCCAAATTTAAAAGCCTCAATATAGTATAGTATAAATGGTCCAAAAGGGCAACAATATTTTTAAAAAGTCGAAAAATCGTTATATCTGTAAATCTGCTTCTAGTGGTATAAGGGAGGTAAAACTGTCCAATGGATCTTCCTGAAACTTCTGGTACAGGAAGTTAAGTTCCCATACCACTTGTTAAATCTATCCCGATAATGATCCGTAAACAGGAAGTAGTCAAAAAAATATTCGATATTTTTTAAAAAAAAGACAGTAAAAAAATCGGTGCTCTTTGAACAATCAGGATTTCACCGTCGGGTGTGACCGGATCAAAACATCTAAAGTATCGTTTGGTAGCTCGATAAATAGACTATTGTATGACACGCTTCCTGTCTGATTCCTGAAAGCCGGTTCAGTGCTGCTTGCAGGTCTAGTTATTATTATTATTCCAAATTATTTTTGATTAGATCTCAGCAACTGCTTGTTGGATCGTTATGATTTCTTCGGTTTTACTGGAAAAGTGGGTGTGACTTAGAGGATAAAGCTATTTTAAACTTTAATTTTACCAAAAACTACAATTTTGACAGTTAGGTACCACTTTTCGAAAGCAAATATTATTTTTTTCAAATCTGGTATAACTGAAAGGGTGCGCCCTTTAAAGGCGCACAAAATGTTGGGCCCAGTTTTTTTAATTTCCATTCCGTTTTTGGGCTATTTCGATTAAAAGGTGAAAAAAGGTGTAAAATTAAGCTATTTACAACCCATCCAGCGTTTCATATTTTAAAATATTACTTCGTAACTTTCATAAACTCGTAGCAATAATCTATACGGAGAGAATGTATGTGAAAATTAATTTGTAATATGCGCAGTTGCGGAGTAATGGTCAATTTTGCACGAGTCACTCTTTACGCTATTGTGCCTGTAAAAGAGTCAATTATTATTGGATTTTCATAAAAGTGGCACCATTTGATGCGTAATGTCAATTTTAACTAGGTCAAACCAATTTAACATTTTCAATGTCACCGGAAATGACGTAATTTGGGCAAAAACTGTATTTATAGCCTTCGAAACAAATAATTTATTTAAATGAGTCGTATTTGTTATTTGTTTAAAATTTTGATATTTGATTCAAATCAACTAAAAGAATGAACCCATACGATCATATAGATATCACAAAATGGTTTCTAATAGATACCAAGATGGCGACGATCGGTTGATTTGTATAGAAGTTACGAGGGGGTGAATTTAGGCAAAATTTCAAAGACAAAAGATTAATTACGGATAAAAATTAATTATAAGATATGCATTATATTTGTAGAAAATAATAATTTTCGGGAGAAATAAAGACTGAAACATGTAAACAAAATTTTTCATTTTTTTTCAATTTTAATAAAAAAACGGTCATACCAAGTGCGAACGATCCCCTTAAAAAGAAAAAAAAATTCTTCACGTTATTTTACCATTATGACAGAGAAAAGTCATAATTTTAGTGGAACTGACTTTTCAATACTATTTATAGCAATTGTAAAGTACAATTGAATTTTATATCATTGGAAAGAACACTACAATCTGTACATTTTTGTAACAGAGTAATTCTTTGTATAAAAACATTTTTTTTTTTAGTAATGTGTAATTTTGTAGAGGGTATTAGGATTAACAATAATCCATTAATTGGCTTAGGGAGATGGGCCCTGCTGATTTAATTCAGCTTAGGAGTAGGGTAGCTAATCTTTTAATTGGCTCAGAGTTAAATGGGTTAACTGTCTTCAACTTTGGCTACATCGGCACATGACATCGTGATAATATAAATACTTTTATAATTGTTTCTTTCTTCATCAAACTATTTACATTTAGTAGTATCTTTGTGTTCTTTTAAGACTGTGTTTATTATAGATTGTCGGGGTTAATAAAATACCGTGAAGTAAGTGTCAATCAGTCGGTACCTCATGATCGAGGCTATCTCATGGCGTCAGTTTCGGAACCATTGGTCATAGAGTGCTAGCTAGTCACGCAAATAAAATATTTTGGCGGGAATTTGAAGACATTTATATCTTTCCGTGAATTTTATTACAAAAGACAAGTGCCTTATAAATTATGTATGATGTCTTTGGTGAAAGAAAATGTTATGCACAGCTACCATTCTTTGGTTTGATTGCCAGAAAAGATACAGTTTTTTTCTAACTTCCTGTTTGACGTATAGGCTTCGCATAATATATTTTTTCACATTCTAGCCAACTAGACTTTATTTACAGAGTCACGTTTATCGATAAACAGTTGATTTTAATGCATCAATTCATTGTTCATATTTAAAGGCAAACAAATATTACAGGATGAATTTGTGACCTCACTAAATTTGACCAAATAGTGACTGAATTGGAAGTGCGTAATTATTACAGATGAAAACAGACATGTGAGCGGGTCATGAGAAACAAACAAATATATCAGCGGCCTTATTTCCTGAAGTTGATAAACAACTTCATGCGACCTAATTCTGACCTCTTTTAATCTTCAACTAAAAATTTCCAACCGGCAAAATTATAGCATCGCCAATGTTAATGTACCATTGACTATATGTGCAAGGGAGTAGAATTTTGTGCAGACTTCAAAATTCCCACGTACTCTTCTTTAATTATTCCATTTATCAAGTTTTATTTTACATGCAGGCTTATATTAAAGCTTGTACTTTGTCCAACTATGGATTAGTGGAAATTAAAACAGGGCTAGTGTCTGACAATAGACTACTAGCCCTGGGCTGGTGGATTCAAATTTTGTTTTAAAGGCTCAATACCACTCTTGTTGTATCTGAATAATATGTCCCAATCTTTATTCCGGTCAACAAATTGTACTATTTTACAATATTCCAATTAATTGATGAAACAAATTTCATCTTAACACACCTAATATAACAAATTGGAAAAATTCAACTAAATGATTTGAAAAGCCTGACGTAAAGCTTTTCAAATCTGACTTGAATTTAAAAATATTTTTGAACCCTCTGGACAAGTAAAATAGGATTTAATGGATAATTTACACAACAGGTAGTGCACTAACACATCTAGTACTTAAGCAGTGGACACATTAGCCGAATCATTCGGCCGAATTAATCGGCGCTGAATTTTATTCGGCCGAATGGGTGGACACACTAGCCGAATGCTTCGCCCGATTCACCGGTCGATTGCATCACCTTTCATGTCACATGATTAAACATGGCGGCGTCTATGTCTTCAAACTATCACGTGACTTCTCGATATGAGTGGTGATTGACTAATGAATTCTACATTCGGCCAAATGCTTCGGCGAAGCGGACACACCAGGCGAATATAATTCGGCCGAATATATCAAACCTGTTTGATTTGGGCGAATCATTCGGCCGAATGACAGTGGACACACTAGGCGAATTTCGACGCCGATTGATTCGGCCGAATCATTCGGCTAGTGTGTCCACCGCTTTAGAATAAGGCTTTTTTTTATTTTCCGGAGCTGTCAAGCCAGCAAGAGTGTTATTGTCCCTTTAACGGCCCTGAACAGGGACTCCTGTAATCTGGTAAATAACTCCTGGAAAACTGGAATTTTAAGTGTTCTGAGTTGTGCACACCCTGACATGTGTAGACAATGTCACATATGGGATGGCTGGCTATTTATAGGTTAATGCACGCTACTGCGGCTAATATCTCTCGGTCAACAGCATTGGATATTCTTGTCAGTATGCATTTCTCTTTATATTTCAGTTGGGTAAATTTACCGTCCCCATATTGAAGGAATTCATCAAAAAAGAAAAAATAACAGCCAATGGTAGTAAGAAAGCTGATCTTATTGAGGCAATCAACAACCAATATGGTATTGCCAACTAAAGCATAATTATTAATACATATCAAACACGGACAAATGGGAGGAGAATTTTTCCAATCAGAATTGATGTATGAGACAGTCCCGTGGTTTTCATTCTATCCAAACCCTTGAATTTTGAATATACTTTCTTTTTTAATTCATATATTTTTTCCAAAAACTCTTCCATGTTCCAAAGTCCATCTTCCATGTATGCATTTGAGTTTAGCGATTGTTTTCAATAAAACGATGTATCAAGAGGGAGAGAAATGAGTTTAATGCTAGGCCTCGACTTCAAAATTTCCAAGTCGGTGATTTTTCACACGGTGAAATGGTGCTATTTTTAGCACATAATAAAAAGCCATAAAACAACATGCTATATATTGAAATGTCGATCGGGTTTAATTGGATCAAGGACAGTGACGCAAAGTTCAATGTGACATCGACATTTAATTGGCATTTATACCAACCCACCCCCGTAATAAATCAAGGAACAGTGTAATCTTTATTTATTTATTTATACCATTCATAAAATATAACAATAACAAGAGACATCCCTTCATTCATCGCAGGTACACTATTTTCTTACTTTATTTACAACATCACTCGTCAAAACTCTGATGCAACTGTTGTGGTATGACATCTTTAAATAGTCGATCTTCGTGTTCAAGGGACGTTTTCTGGTCATTGGAGGCAGCGTACTCTATCAGAGCCGACTTTATTACTTTCTAAAGTTCTGGGAACCAGTCACAAAACTATTCTTGGCGTTACGTTTCTGCCAAAACAATCTTTTAATTACCCAGTGCGTTCTGCGTACGTGACGAGTTACATGTAGACCGTTGACTGTTTCTCCATACACGGAGAAAAAGTAGTTCCGAATGATTAACGCATTTAAATAATTCAAAGATATAAAAATTTACAATAATTAACATCCTTCTTAAAGTTAAATTTATCAATAAATTAACTGATGGTATTGATGGAAGGCTGGGGCTATTTGCCACGTGGTAAGACAATCCGGAGACTATTTGCAACATGTGGCAAGTCTCCGTACCGCATTATCAATCGATTTCAATGAAACTTACAGATCACGATAACATTAATAATATCTCAGAGTAGGCAAAATTTTGACCACTTCCGGTTTTCGAGATATCAGGCGGCACGGCTACAGACCACAATTACCAACCGATTTCAATGAAACTTGCAGATTATAATAATATTAATAATATCTCAGAGTAGCCAAAATTTCGATCACTTCCGGTTAGCGGTTTCAGAGATATCAGGTTACCACACATTTCATGTGGCACGACCGCAGACCACAATTATGAACCGATATCCATGAAACTTCCAGAATATGATAACATTAATAATATCTCAGAGTAGCCAAACTTTCAACCACTTCCGGTTAGCAGTTTCGGAGATATCATGTTATAACATATTTCATGTGGCACGGCTACAGACCGCAATTACCAACCGATTTTAATGAAAGTTGCAGATTATAATTACATTAATAATATCCCAGAGTAGGCAAAGTTTCGGTCACTTCTGGTCAGCAGTTTCCGAGATATCAGGTTACCACACATCTCATGTGGCACGGCTACAGACCGCAATTATCAACCGATTTCAATGAAACTTTCAGATTATAATTACATTAATAATATCCCACAGAGTAGGCAAAATTTTGACCACTTCCGGTTAGCGGTTTCGGAGATATCATGTTACCACACATTTCATGTGGCACGGCTACAGACCGCAATTACCAACCGATTTCAATGAAACTTGCAGATTATAATTACATTAATAATATCTCAGATTAGCCAAAATTAAATTTCGACCACTTCCGGTTAGCAGTTTGGGTGATATCAGGTTACCACACATTTCATGTGGCACGGCTACAGACCACAATTATCAGCCGATTTCCAACAGCTTTAGAAATTACGTTCATTTTATTTTTTAAATTGCTTTATCATTAACTGTACCGTCAAGAGCGGCATCTTTTGGTTTAGTACAAGTAATATCTCTGAATCACTTTCGTTAGCAGGAACATGATACTAGCAGTAGTTTCATTTTACTTTTTACAAGTTTCTTAAAACAATTGTTGAGTTGACTAACGTACGTATTTCTAAATTCAATTTCTTGTTCCAGCTTTCTGTTATGTTTCGAAAAAAGGTAGTCACACGTAGAATGGTCGGTAGACTGGTTAAGCGAGACTAATTTCAAAACAAGGGCACGTAACCTATCTTTTACTCAAGAGTGTCTGGATGTTATGGACGACACTTGGAACCAGTTTCAGTCTATTATTTATAGATGATTAAATGGTCATAGCTTATTAAGTACATCATGATTATTGGGCGCCGTTTGTAAAATAATTATTTAATTTTTTTTATAGCAAAAAACATTAGATTTAACTCCGAATATATATATTTAGATAAATATTAGAACAAAAATGCCATATATGTAAATATCAAAAAATATTGTAGCTAAAAGTCGAGTTTTTGGTCTATGGAAAACTTTAAATGTTATATCTTGATTTCACATCGCTTAGTTAAATATATAGCTAAATGTGCTGTTTTTCGTAGGTATAAATGCTAAATATAAATCACTGAAAAATCTAAAGTTAAATATTTAGCTAAATATATAAACATTTAGCTAAATATATAAACATTTAGCTAAATATATAAACATATATATTTAGCTAAATGTTTAAACATTTAACAAAATATTTAGCTAAATATTTATATATCATCAAATCTCTTGTTTTGGTCTTAATATTCAATGCTAAATGTTAAATATGAAAATAGAGACAAATCAAGAAATATTTATATATATTATGTTAAATATTGAGTTTTTGTTGTATTTTTAGTTTAAATATTAAAAGTGAAAAATTTGCACAAAAGTCGAGATTTAACTATATATAGAAATTTAAATTTAAATTAAATCTAGTGTTTTTTGCTATATAAAAAGCTAAATAATTAATTTACAAACGGCGCCCCATACATGATCGTTTATTTAGTGACTATAATTGTGTGAAACTGATTTAAGGCTTCGTATATATAAATATTGTGGCGTAATTGTCGAGATATTTGGAGATATTTATTTATGGTGGGTCACCCTATCATTGATGGAATGAAACTATACATCAAGTTTCATCACTCGCACTTAATTAGAACTAAAGTTATCGTGTTCCAAAGCATCAACCAATCAAATTGCTTATCTCTGCTTACCCCCAGCAGAAAATGCTCATTTTCGAACTCAATTAAAGCATTGACCTAATAAACACCAACACCAAGTTTGAACATTCTAGCTCAATTAGAAGGAGAGTTATTGTGTCCCCAAAAGTGTGACAGACAGACCCATTTTGTTATGGCAACAAATAATTTATTTTCCACAAACTAAGGATTTTTTTTTTCAAAATTGTACTGTTAGATGTAGATCTATCTCATTTTTGACAGTAGGCCTATTGACTCATTTAAATATTTGGCAACAATGAGTCGTATTTTTTTTGGTAATTACTAATTAGTATGAGTTTATATACATATACTGTATTGTTATTATTGGGGGGATCTTTAAAAGGGAGATAACTGGAATGCCGAGACATATTTTATTTACCATCACATTTACCAGCTATTCTTGCGGCAGAAAAGCGGGATAGACATTAGTTTTCACACGTAAATCGCTCGAAGCAAGGCAAGCAATGTTACGGCCCGCTTCCATTTCTTTCGCGCCATAAAACGCAAACCCTTAGGACATAATTGAGGAAGTTACGGTCCGATATGCGTGAATATAAAAAAAAACCCGAGATCTTTGGGTTATAAACATGCATTTCAACTCTCATCAAAATCGGATAAAAATTGTGATCTCTAGAGGGTCTACAACCTAGATATACCACATTTTTACACTATTTGCGTACGAGGGGCTGCCATTTTGTCCGGCAGTTTTGGTCCGAATTTCATGTTAATCTAATAAATTAAACGAAACTAGAACAACAAGACTTAAAAAGGCTTTAATACAAATGACGCCCCCCCCCCCCCAAAAAAAAAATAAAAACAACAACAAAAAACCCCAAGATATATGATACATAAAATGTTGGAATGGGATAGCTAAGTCAAATCCGGGTATCCGGAATTACGTGGTTTCGGGACGATTTGTGGATGTCTCTAACTATGTAGGGGGAGCCACGGTGGCTAGGTGGTTAAGACGCTGGCACGTCGCTCGCTAGCCTGGGCGACCTTCGGTTGCACGGATTTTCGTACTATAGTCGAACCATCTGCATGCGAATGACATTTAGTTCAACCAGTGGTCGTGACCAGTCGTACCATGCGATAAAGCACGGTCGGGATAGTTCAAAGATGGCTGACAAAACTGACACTTGAAAAGATTTTCTGAAAAATATAATAAAATTGCCGATTGCCGTTGGGTTATTTACACCTTGGTCGGTATTATAGGGCCCATGTTAATGCCTGAAAGTTAGTGAATGGGCATTGTAGTATAGATGTTACATATGATTTATTTTTTTTCGTCTTTTTTGATGAATTTGACAGATTAGGATCTTCTTATTCGAATATATATAGGCACACGACAAAAAACTGTACGTGTGAAATGATTTGGTTGGATGACATAATTCCAATGAAAAATATTCTGATATTGACTAATCCTATTTGTAACCTATTTTAAGCTTGCTTTCACATCGCAGTACGGAAAATTAACCAGTTTTTAAAAATACATAAGTAAATAGGAGAAAATATAGCAGGCGGAACAACTGACATGGTCGCCACCATATTGAATAGTCAATGGCTAGGACCATTTGCGTTTGGGTGCTGGTTCAGACTGTAGTCACGACCATAGTCTACATCCGAAGGTCGCCGAGGAGGTCGGGTGTTCGATCCCTGCATTGGCCGAGAAAGTTCATCGGGATTTTCCGACGTGGTTTCTCCTTGTCTGTGGTGCAGAACGGAGGGCTTGACAAGGACAGCTGTCTCGTCCTTCGGATGAGACGAAAAACCGAGATCCCGTGTATACATTGGAATGCACGTAAAAGATCCCTTGGCAGTTGGAATTCGATATAAGAGTAGGCGATAGTGCCGCTGCCCAGGCAAAATTTCCCTCATAGCACACTGTATGGCGTATGCCCGTCTTCATTAGCCCAGTATAGTAGCAGAACAGTAGGACGTTAAACCTCATTTCATTTCTAACTATGTAGTAGTAAACACTTTCTTGAGCCAGGATAATAATCCAGCCTACAAGACGAAAATGCTTAATATTAAAAACACTTT